AAAAAAGAACTTTCCTCTCCAAATCACCTCTCTCACTATCTTTTGGAATGCATTATGTTTTATTTATTTATTTTTTGTAATGTATTTTGTAAATGATTGAATCACTAATAATTTTGTTATTAGCCAAAATGTTGTGGAATATTTGGTCAGGAAGATTATATAAGGTTAAAGGTACCTCGGAACTAGTGGCATGTTAGGAATAGCAGAGGGACTGTTGGTTGCAAATTGGAAATTTAAGCCATGATCTTAAAAGGATGGGGTGGTGCTTGTTACATAGACCGTAGGAATAATTGGTTTTTCATTTTCCCTTTCTTAGAATTTTCTTTCTTTGAGACAGGGTCTTGCTGTGTAATTCAGCTTGCCCTTAAACTCAGGGATCCCCTTGCCTCAGCCTCCCAAGTGCTGAAATTATAGCTGTGCCACCATGCCTGGTTCCCTTTCTTGGATCTTATCTGTGAAAACATTTTACCAGGTTCTTTTTCTTCTTCATCTTCAAGTTGTTTCCTCTTCCCCTCTTTCTTCTCCTCCTCTTCTTCCTCCCCCTCCTCTTACTGCTCTTCCCCCTCCTTCCCCTCCTTCTTCTCCATAGAGATGGAATGAAATGATGTGGGAATTGAACCTACTGTGCTGAATGTGCTGGGCGAGCCTTCTACTGTAGAGTTATATCCATTTTCCAATTCAGCTATGGCTTATTATCAGCCAACCTTCGATTGTTTTCCTTGTCTTGAGTACGGGCGTGTGGGATTATTTCAAGATTTCCTTTCTCTCTTTCCTTTTCTGTCATTTCCATTTCCAAGAAAATAAAAACAAAGCAAACATTCACAACAGTGCCAGCTGTCACTAACACCAAACTGGTTAGGTCATTCGTCCAGATCTCCTTGAAAATTACCCACCCGAATTAAGAAGATCTGTATTGACACTTGCCTGTATAAAGCTGCTCTGAATTAGTCTAGATTATTCTTTACTAAAGAAGGAGAACTAGAAAGGCCTATGACGTGAGCCTAGAAGCTACCTGTGTAAAGCATACGTGATGGGCTTTGCCTGGTACCAGGAAGCTATTAGCTTTACTTGAGGTTGGAAGATAGTAATCATGCTAATTTTACAGGTTGGTTATGATGCTGCTGATAAGTGCACAGCTGCGGTCTCTGCCAGGTGGGATGATTCACCTTGTTACCTTGACATGAATCACCTTGTTAAATCCTAGAATTGCTGAATGAAGCATTGTCTTCGTTTTACAAATGAGGACTTGAGGCTTAGATTGAATGATTTACTCAAGGTCACGGAGTGATTGTTCACAATTTGGGCTTTTAGCTCAAGTCTGGATGACACCAAGGTTTGTGTTCTTTGTCACTGTCCCTGTGCCCCCCAGCCCCCCCAGGGAGGCTGGAGATCAAACGCGGGGCCTCAGGCGGGCAGGCAGTTGCTCTCCCAGTGAGCTAAGAACTCACTCTCCTAGCCGCTGTCTGTCCCCACGACCCTGCTTTCACTGTTCTGTTCGACTGCGTGTGAAGTTTGATCATTTGTCAGAGTTGCCTCAGAGCCTGTCGACCGACCGCTGCATGCACAAGTGAGCAGTATTCAAGCGTACAAACCCACGCTTCTGTGATGCTGGGGGTAGCCGTTGGTGCCCCTGTTTTGCCATTATAACATTGCTTTTTTGGCTCGTTTGAACCTACGTCAAAAGAACTGTGTTCTCAGCATCTGCACACCAAGCACCAGTGCTCTTTTGGGGCTGCTTTACAGCCGTCTCGTTCCATACGTGTGCGTGTGCGTGTTTCAGCCAGGCTGCTCTACCCGCGTTTATCTAACAGCTACATTATGTAATGATGTATCACTTGGTTTCTTGTCGCTTTCATTGCAAAGGTCACACAGTAACTTGTCACATTCAGTTTTATTGTTTAATCTTGATTGAGGCTTGTTTTTGTGACTGCCAAAACTAAGCATTAGAATTTGCCCCTCCAAACTCCGTAAAATCTTTCTCCTCTTCTTTTGTTAATCTCTTAGTTACGAGTGAGAACATAAAGTCAGTAAGTCCTACTAGAAGATTATGAGAATCATACGTTCTACTTTTTTGTGCAGAAAGCTTGCTGGAGGCTCTTCCTTTACCTGATGAAGTCTTCCTTGCAAAGGATTGTGGGCACCTGTAACTACCTGGTTGTCTACATGGAGGTAACTTGGGTAGTTAGCAGTTACTGTTGCAGTATCTTTGCTTGAGCCTTGTAATAGCTGCACTCCAGTAGGTAGGGCCATCTAGAGACAGCAGGCTTCCTTCTGGCTATTTCTTAGCTACAACCCGCGCGGGATTGCCAGGCAGTGTTTAAAGCAAAATGCAATGTGCAGTTTCCAGTTTGAACGTTAGTCATACCATTCTCTTAACTCAGTAAGTCTCTCCATGGTAATGTACCGTGAGTTTAATATCAAAACCTATTTTCTCATTAAGTTAAGTGTTCTGGATTTGCTTGAATAGGGAAGGATGTTTTGTTGGTAGTAAGTGCGTGAAAGGTGTCCCAGGGAGTGGGCCTGTTATTTTTATGATCTTTTATTGCATGGGTATGCATGAAGTAAAATCCATTAATCTATTATAATAGTGCATGTTTTTATTTGTAATGTAAAATTTTTTTGGGTGCTGGAAATCGAACTCATTCCCTGGAGCTTGCCAGGCAGGTGCTCTGCTGCTGAGCTCTGTGCCCCGCCCACGACTGTAGAATA